CAAACCAGTCTGTGTCCACAGAAAATACTATTAATAAGAAATATCCTTGAGTTAATATAATTATAATGCAACACAGTTCTTCAGAAAAGAAAATATTAACTGCTTGCTTGAGTCTATTTTTTTATCACTATGGATAATTTTCTTTTGCATTGCTATTTTGTGACACAATAGTTTAACATTCATTCTCATAATGAATTATACATGATTGTATATGACTGCACTATGTGGTTATCACGGCACTGCAATAAAAACATTTCAAAATAATTAACAGGTGTAACAAATGATCATTCAAGCACATAATGCTAGTTGCCTCCTTAATACAAAATCCTAAAAATACACAGCCTTCCTCATAGCCTTTCATGTACTATGCTCACAAGGAGCATGTAGCCATGCCATTTATTATATCATTGGGAGCAACTAAACATTTGTCTGTTATTGAAACATTTGTGGGATAAACTGGTTAATAAATTTTGTGCTTTCCAAAGAAGTCTCTCACCCCCCCCCCAAATGTTGTGCTTCAGAACCATTTCCTTATTTGGTTCCATTACTTATCACCATACCTCAGTGGTTCTCAACCTTCCTAATGCCGTGACCCTTTAATACAATTCCTCATGTTGTGGTGACCCCCAACTCTAAGGGCTCTCCAAGCGCGCACTGACCGCGCCTGGGGCTCAGCGCGCCTCGCCTGTCCTCGCCTCACTTCCGAAGGTTGCTGGCCTGCTGGCCTGCCTGGCTCCAGCTGGCCGGGGAGCGGGGGCAGGAAGGCCGCTCTGCCCAGCCTGGTTGGAGAAGCGCCCAGGCGGGGAGAGAGAGAGAGAGAGCCAAGAGGGCGACTTCACCAGAAGAGCTTAGTTCAACCTCCTCCGCGGAAAGGGCCACGAAGCAGTGCAGCCTCCCTTAGGAGATGCTCGACGGAAACGAATGCGGCGCTGCAACGGCCCCCAGCTCGAAGCCGTGCGGAGACGGATAGAGGACCGGTGTCTTGGTTCTTAAGACCATTGGAAATATATGTTTTCGATGGTCTTAGGTGACCCCTGTGAAAGGGTCGTTTGACCCCCAAAGGGGTCGCGACCCACAGGTTATACCCTAACCCTAACCCCTAACCCCCAAAGGGGTCGCGACCCATACCTGTTATACCCAAACCCTAACCCTAACCCTAACCCATACCTAACCCTAACCCTAACCCTCTGCTGACATAATAACTTTGGGTAACAAGCTTACTCATCAGAATCCTCTAATTAGAATTTTCAAAGCAACAGATTTTATTAACTGTACAATGTTGAAATAAAATTAAATCAGCCTTCTTATAACTTAGGTGAGTAAATTCTTTTATCTTAGGAAAAACTAAGACTTTTCAGCTTTTTTAAAATCACAATTCAATTGCCTATTGAGACAGCGCAATTTATATATTCCTGTTTAAAATACTTTTTCTCCCTGAGTAAACAATTTTCCATTTTGTCAAGTGATTTCTTTATAATCCCTTCAGATAATTGTTGAAGGGTTAAATTTTTCTGCCTATACACTTAACATTCATTCAAAGTTCCGTGACTAACGCCCCCTAGTGTTTACGAGCAAATCCCAAAATTACAAATATTGCAGCACCACGGCAGTCATTAGCCCTTACAAGCAATCACAGAGGTTCTGCAACATTCACGCTATTTCTCCCCTTCCCACAACTGCTTCCCCTTCCCTTCCTGCCAAGCCAGACTCATTTATCTTGCAAAATCTGTCTCTGCTGCAGTTTCTTTCCCTTTGAGGGAGAGGAGAGTCGGCTCGGAAATGCTTTTCGTGCCGACAATAGAAACTCCTGGGTGCCGTAATATTGCATGAGTTCAAACACAAATTCTCTGCAAAAGAGATCATGCCCCCTGGAAGCTTCCATTCTGAGGGGGGAGGAGTGTTTGCTTCATTTGCATGCCTATGGGGCAAAGCGTAATTGGAGTCAGCCGGGCGCAGGAACCAATGCCGTCTATGCCCGGGTATGCTGTACTCTCATATGTGCTGGCCTTGATTTGAGGGCAGGAATGAAGCCTTCCACTGAGTGGGGAGGCATCCCGGGGTGAGTCTCCTTGCACCTGTGTCCAGGCTGCTGGTGGTGTAAAGCTTTTAACTTAGCACTCTACTAAGAGAACATGGATTAAGATCAGGAACAGATTCTCTTTATGTTGAAAGCAATTTATGAAACTATTCTTACAGCTACTGATGAAATAAGAAGTTACAGAAAAGAACAAGATGTCAGCCTAGGTATATGAACCCAAACTTTGATCACAACTAAAAAATCAATTACATAGAATATAATAGAAGAAGTGGAACAATTAAATACTATGACAGAAGATTCAACTGATCAACAAACACAGCTAATGGAAAACCCAGAAAAGGGACTGATAACATGGAAAAGAGAAAAGACTTTCTATATAAACCAGAAGAAACCTGAGGATCAAGAAAAAGAATAGACTGAAGAGAAGATAAACAGTTCAGGACAACTACATCGAGATGGAAAAATAAATGATTTGTTAATCCTTTCAAAAAAACGGTGACTGGATGGCTTTTTCTACTTCAAACAACATACATAACAACACAGGGAGATTTATTTGATGACTTAAAAGCACGGACATGGAAGACGAATTGGCAAAGAAAGAAAGCTAGAATAAGACTGAAGAAAATTTGGGCTTTGACTTATTAGTGAGAATTAAAATAGAACATACTCAAATAGATAAGATGTGTATATTGAATACTAGATTTTGTTATGAGCTGAGATAAAGAAAACCTTGGTCATTTAAAACTTGGAAGTATAAATACTAACAGTTAAATTTGAATATTGATTTGTTTATAAAGATTAAATGTAAAAGTAATTAAGATATATATAAGCTAAAAATCTATTGATGAATTTATAAATATGTTTTTACTTAACTGTTATAATAAAAACAATAGCTTAAATATGAGATAGTAGATATCAGGAAAAAAAGAAATATTAAATGTTGAAATAAGAAATTTTGGTTACTAAATTTAAGATATTTGGTTACTAAATTTAAGATATTTAATAGAAAACAAGAATGTTATACTGTATTATTAATTAGTTGATTAAGATGGTGAGAAATCGAATATATTCAAATAGATAAGACGTGTATCCTGAACATTAGATCTTGTGATGAATTGTAATAAAGGGAACTGGGGTTATTTAAAACTTGGAAATTATAATTATTAAATGTTAAATTTAAATATTAATGGGAAACTAAAAATTGGGAAAAACTAATTAGGACATTGATTGTATATAAAGATTGAATGTTAAAATAACTAGGATATGTATAAACTAAAAATTAGTGATAAATGTAAGAAAGTTATTTTTTATTTAATCGATATAATAAGAATTGTATTAGTTTAAATATGAGACAGTAAATACTAAGGGGAAAAGAGAGGAAATATTTAATGTAATAGTTTGAGATCTATACTGAAGATACTTGTATGTTATTGAGTTATTGATTAGCTCAGCCACCACGTTGCTTTTAAAACTAGAAAATCAATAAATTTTTCTTTAAAAAAAGAAAAGAAAAATGACCAGAATCCAAAGAATTGTAAAGTGCTTCTGTTTTATAGACAAATGGAGCTGTCAGTCAAAAGATCTTGAAATTATCTTGAATGGATTCAGCTTGCTTTCTTTTCTTGCATTAACATTAACTTCGTTTTTTAAAATCAAGCTTTATCAATAATGCCACTATTTTAGCAGAGAAAAAGTAGAGCTAGAATTTATGCTTATCTAGAGAATGATTGCAAAGATCAGAATAGTTTACATATAGTCCCGGTTATTTTAGTTGTGTGGAAATTGTATGAAACTCCTGAAACTTCACAGAAATCTTTAACAGTGGTAATGACTATGTTTATTTTCCCTGAAAGCACAATCAAAACAAAATAAGCTAGCCTGCAAATTTCCTCTGGGTTTTCAAATGGGTGTTTATTTGCTTCTCTTCATTCCAGAACATCCTGGGGAACTCAATTATATATGTTCTTTTATTAGAAGGACAGTACATGATTTAATTCTGATATTTACTATTACCAGCTAGAACTAACAAGCAAATTATGTAAGAACTTGAAAATAGAATTCTGGAGTTGATCCAATGATAGATAATTGTGCAGTTAATACTAGATTGGTTAGATTTCTTAATCTTGAATGACGATTTTTCCACTTGTTGGAAGTCAGCACCCACCCTCCTAGAGAAGAAAATATTTTGGGGAATATTAAAAAGACAGAATATTATATTTCCCCGAAGGAAGAATGGAGAAAAAAATCTTAGGGGAGGCAGAAACCAACCCAAGTTTCCCCAGGGAGAAACTGAGCAGGCCAGCTTTTAGAAATGTAGATTTGGGTCACACTATTCTTAGGCAAAACGCCTTCAGCCTCCATAGCTGATGAAATTAGAAAAACAAAGACTCCAAGGACAGGAACATAACCTTTAGGACATAATAGGACTAACCCACCAACATTAGAATACCCAAAGGGCACACTCAAGCTCAGGTCAAAGTACATTGCATAGGAACAACCTCAAATACAAAGCCCGAGAATGTATAAAAACCCACCTACTTCCAATTCCATTTTGTCAGTCACCCCAGAAACATGCTGGCAATCAAATAAACAAGAACCTTTTTCCCCAAGCAGCTTCCATTTTATTTCCAGCATCTTAGCCTCTATTTTGTTTACTGCCTGCTTGGAACCGGACCTGATGATTTTTCTTTCAACATTCTTAAATTAGCTTTTGATTTTGGAATGTGAATGAAGTGAATATGCATTAGAATATCTGCTTTAAAGGTCTCAATCCTTCATTTTGAAGTTGCATCAGTATCCCAAACTCCTTTTTTCTTTTTTGCATCTACCATCACTTGGAGGATTTCATTCCCATTATCTACTAAATGAAATAATAATTATATGATATCCAAAGCTAATATTCTAATAGAAACTTATGATTATCATTATGTCTTTAAAAAGTCTGATTTCACTTTGTTTACAGAAAGCAATTGCCTATTTATTTCCTTCCGGTCTATTTGAAAAAAGGGCCAGGCCTTTCATGAAGGTAAGAACATTATTCAGTGCTACCAGAATCAGAACAGAATTATTTCAGTATAGCAATAAATATATTAATTAACTATTTTTTCTCTGCTTTAAACAGCACCCTGAGGAAGTGTTTCCAAAGACAAGTGGTAAGTGGAGATTTGCACGCGCTTTGTATATAAGGTGGGTTCCCAAGCACTAATATATGTCTGGTCTGTCAACTTAAATTCTTGGTTTTTCTTGTTCTGTTGACAAAGTACATAATCAAATGCTTTGGAAAGTCTCTAGTTATGTTTTATTTGGGATAAGAGTATTGTATAAGGAAAACAATCCTTTCAGATACAAAGGAAAACTAAACTAAACAGTGTTCTGTTTTAGGTGTAATTCTCTTTGGGGTTGGGGGATGGAATATTCACTTAGAGTTGTATAGTTATTACTGTTTATGTTTATATTTCTTCAGTTATTCAATGGAATGAAGATGGTCGTCCATTTAATTTTCTTTTTTATACTGGCAAGCAGTCATACTATTCTTTAATGCATGTAAGTGGTTTAATTTTCCCTCCCTGAATATATAATGTACACATTTAAATTGCAATATTCTTTTGAGAAAATTAATTACCAAATAAGGAATTAATAACTTATCTCCCAATTAAGCTTTGGTTTGGTTCCATCAGTATTAAATAGATCTTGCTATTGAAAAAAAATGTAAGGATATGATAAATGAAGCTATACATTTTATAATTTATTTACTTTGTTCATCAATATGCCATACATTTTCAGCCATAGGCCAGCCTTCAGTGGTTATAATTCTATTTAAAATATATAATATTTTTCAACTAAAAGCATTATAAAAATATATTTATGAAATTCTTTTAATGACTGAATATTTAAACATAAATTCAGATACTAGCTTGAGATTTAGGCACACAGCAGATCTGTTTATTACTTCTGTAGTGGCTTGCAGTCAGTCTGCTATATAAAGAAAAAGTGGTATGGACTCCACCATAGTTGAGGTTGCTCTGTTTAAAGTAAGATGTCTAGCAAAGAATGACATGGTGAACACTAAAAATATGAGAAGTGGGTTGAAAGAAAGTTGAAGGAGTTATCAAGGAACAAGAAGTAAGACAGCAAAAGTGCTACTCATTGTTCTCAACCTACAACCTTTTAGTTAGTGATTATTCTAAGTTACAACAGTGCTGAATAAAATGGTGGTTACAATAAATCCTTTTAGTTCAGGCCATCCCACCTACCACATGATCACAATCTGTATGCCCTGCAATCTGTTCTCATTTATGGCCAATTACTAAGCACCCTGCATTCATATGATTTCCATTTGCAACCTTTCCTGTTGGCTTTCCCAGAAAGTCAATTGAGAAGCTAGCAGAGAAAATCCCAAATTCCCGGGTAGGTTTCCCACACCTGTGTGTCTTCCCCAGCCACTCTACGCTTGCACCATGTCAACCATTGTGCATCCTCCCTGATCTGTGTGATGCCTTCTTGCATCCCCTTGCATCCTTCTCAACCCACACAGCACCTCTCATGCTTCACCCTAACCCTAACCCTAACCTTGGGATTCAGTTAACCATTGCTAATGGGAGTGCAGAGTTTGCCATTACTAAAGTAATCCTGCTTTAACGCACAATGCTTTACGGCTGCATTGGATAACAATGGAAATTTAGCCACTGTAAGTTGAGGACTACCTGTAGACATTCTTACATGACAGGGAGCTCTTAAGAAAGTGAAGAACATGCAATATGGTGCTCTTTACTTTTCTTAGAGCCTTCTGAAACAAAGTCCTAATGGCCAGGAGTTGCTTTAAAAGCTTACTATATAGCACTTGCAAATAAATAAAAAATTTCCACCCCAAATTTCAATTGCAGGGGAATTATCTTTAAAACCTTGCTTTGGGGTTACAGACGCCACCCTGCAGCAACTTTCAGTTCGCCATTCTGGCACTGTCCTTACGGCTATTTGGTTGAAGAGATAATATAACTAGCGGCTCTGCCCTCAAAAATACTGATAGAAATCTTCTAATCCAATGATTGGTCATTAATCCCTATTTATTCTATTTTGCATTTCAGTTGTTTCCTTCACATGTTTTCATTTAATAGGTTATTAGCTAGCATATGGCTTTATTTTCCATTTGAGATTTTTTTTATTGGCTTAGAAAATTATAAAAAAAAAAATCTGGATATGCTCCTCCAGTGTGGAGAGAACCAGAATTATTTCTGCAGCTTTTCCCAAAAATTTCTCATCTGTAAGATAAGGAAACAAATGAAAGAATTGCCTCTTTTTAAAGAAGCAAGCAAACATTCAATTAGAATTTGCTTTCCTGTAAATTAAATTAATTCTGTGTCTTTAGCCTTGGAATGAGAGAGAACCAGTTTTTATTTTTTTTTTCTTTGTGACATCTTTTCAGATTCTTGGAGAATGCTATTGTACTCATACACAGTCATCTTTCCTAAAGGCTAAACAAGCCCAGTTACTTCAATTGTTCTTTGGAAATGTGATGAGCATTCCTTCCATTACTTGATCCAGTTAATTAATAGAAGTATCGAAGAATAGAGAAAGACAAGCTCCTTCTGCTGTTTTCTGTTAAGTCTTCATTGACATTACTTAGGGTTCTGCTTTTATTATATCTTAAAAAAAATATGTGGCATCCATCCTGGGTTCCTATTCCCACTATCATCATCTTCCCTTGTAATCTTTTAACATTGCTCCCACTTTATTAAAATCTGCTTTTTTAAGTCCAATATTTCATTTGATTGTATTCAGTTGTAATTTCCTTTTAAATCTAAAAAGTTCAGGATTATACTGTCTCTTCCCCCACTGTTCTCACTACTGAACAATTACTAGTTGGATTTCCAGTGTGCTTTCTGAACTTACTTATCTCAAGGTACAATATTTATTGCAACTGCACAATATATGCATCATTTGTAAACCTTAGTCCATTGACTTTGGGAAAACTGAATCAGTATTGATAGTTACAGAAAATGAAATGCCCATTTTACTGAAAAATAAAGTAATACTTTTCAGCATAGTGCTGCTGTCAAAGTCTGTTTCTCTTGTTATTGAGTACTGTAACACTAAAGGTGCAATAGCATTTAGAGGACTTTCTCTATGAAGAGGATTGTTTTCCTGTGTTTTTTAGAATTATCTTCGTTTGTACTCTTTGCACCCAAAGGACAAAATCCCCACTTGTCAGGTACATTTATTTCTTTAGAAAGAGAAGAGAGGAATTATTTTTTCTTTTGGTTGACCTTGGGCAAATGAGCTTCTTGCCCTGGCAGAAATGAAATGAATGATAAATGTAGAGGGTGTCTTTGCTGAGTAATGGAGCTGCAGCCTAGGCTTTCCAGAGAGTTTTCTCCTGCACAGCCTGAGGCAGCCTGAGGACCCCTACTGTTCATTTAAATAGGTATGTCAAATCTGCCTTGAAACGCTGCTGGTTTGATCTGTGGTAATATTTGTGAAGGTTCCATATGGACTTGAGCCCCCCTGCAGTGCTAAGAAATAATGTACAACGCTTCATGGTGCAGACGCAAATTTTCTCTGAAAAGGGATGCAGCGCTGCGTTTTAGCTGTCGGAGAGGATGATGGAGCTGACGCACTATGCCTGTCAACTTGTTACACGGATGGGTTGCACGCAGAGAGGCTGTGGAAAATCTGTGCCTTTTAGCTTTTCTACTTAATCACGGTTGTAGCATTGCCTTTAGACTGTATGCTACATTAATTCTCTTCCTGCCTTCTGCCTTTCATCCCAAGTTTCACGGAAAAAAGTAAAGCATGCAGGTCTTGTAGAAGGGCCTTATCAAGCAGCTGTCATCTGACAGGCCATTTGCATTTGTTTTGGCTGAAACAGAGCAAGCCAAGGGCAAGATGTTTTGTTGCATTCCATCATAATGAAGAAATTATAGAAAAATTACAGGGAGTACAACTTCTTAACATTCGTAGCTCTTGCCTTTGAAAAAACAGTGTTGGTGATTTTCCAGATGCACAATCTTTTCAAGTGGCCAGGCTCCCCATTTGATTAAATGTTTCTTCATTTGAAATTCTTTCAACAAACAAAGTGTAATTATGGTAGGATATTTATGTAGTTGCTTAAATAGTATCAGTGCGTTTAGAAATATTTCCTGTAAGAAAAGAATCCATATTTTTATTAAACATAATTTGTCATGCAACCTTACACAAAGTATGAAGTACATATCAATCTTAAGCTAAGAGATACCAGAAGCATATTTAAGTTTAAAACTTTCACTTTAAAATAAAAGATAATTTTTAATTTGCTGTGTGTTGTTTAGACAATCTTTTATCATATATAACATATTATAATTTCTGACATATGGTAATTTTTCTAAATATGAGCATAATAATACCTCCAACTGATTGTTTTAGGTATTTATGCAGAAAAATTTGTAAGATATTTTACTAGACTTTTTTGGAAAATCAGTATTAACCTTTATCAACTTAATCTCCATCATTTAAGTTGTTATGAAATACAATTTGGAGAACTTTGACCCAACATTTGGCGTATAGTCTGTGTAGGTCTAGGGTGCATTAGGTGGAAGAAGTTGACCTATACCATCCACCATCCTTATTCTATCTCTTATGTAACTTATATGTTTGAGCTCATAATGTCTGCATACTTTCAACAAGCTTCTGCTTGTTGAACACTGGTTACAGCAAGCCACAAATACTTGTTTATTTATACAGAACACTTTTTATATGATTCAGTTATATAGAAATTCTTTAATCATTTTGCATGTACCAAAAATTTAAAGGACTCATATTAACTTTCAAATACTGTACAGTCATGTTTTACTTAAATACTAATCCAGACATAATGCAATATCTGCTAGTTGTATGTGTGAACTTAACAGATCTTTTTTCTAACTTTCTATACAGAACAATTATTTCAGTGAAGTAGACTTGTAGCATTGAAAAATTTGGAACCTTTTAATCTGGTTAAGAAAAAGCAGTTGCTGTTCCTTTGTTCCCTGAATTGTAATCAAGTAGTGTCTATTACAAGCAGTGGAAGATATTTTTTTTTACATCAACTATAATCCACTAAACTATATCCCAATTTCTTCTATCCTCATTTCCATCTCATGATATTGCAACTCTTGTCATCTGAAGTAAAGAATATGTTCTTGATGTCTTCTTTGGGAAAGAGTGGGATATCTAAAGTCCTACTCCCTTCCCTCCCTCCAGGAAGAAAATGGATTGGTGGATCATTAGATGGAATAAACATTTACCTCAACTATCATATTATGTTTATTTTTCAAAAATACAACATTGTTTATACTACCCATCTTATTAAGTAACAAGCTTAGAGATGCTATTCTCCTGTATCATGAAAAAATACATACATGGCACATAAATCTTTCATAAAATATATTAAAAAATGTTTGTTGTGTATGTCATAGAGGCGTTGACTGATTGATTGATTGTGTACCATCAAGTCATTCTTGATTCCTGGTCACCACATAGATATTCTTCCTGATAGGCTAGTCTTTCAGGTATTCCAGGGGTACACTCATCACCTGAATCCATTCACCTTGCTGCTGGTTGTCGTCGTCTTCTACCTTTTCCAGTATTAGACCCTTTTCCAGTGAGTTAGGTCTTTGCATAATGTGTGGAAAATAGGTTATTTGAGTCTGTCCATTTGTGCCCTCTAGTGAGAACTACGGGTTGATTTGTTTGATGATCCATTTGTTTGTTTTTTGACAGTCCACTGTATTCTCAGGCGTCTTCTCCAACGCCAAAGGTCAAAACTGTCAATACTCTTCATGTCCTGCTTCTTCAAAGTCCAGCTTTAGTTTCCATAACCGTTAGAAGGAACAGCATGGCTTGCACAATTCTCATCTTTATGGATATAGAGATACTGCATTTGAATATATTTTCCAAGGCCCTCATACTACTTACCAAGTGCTAGTCTACAACATATTTTTAAAGAGATAGGAATATCTGTTAGTAAAATCTTTGCATATCCATTTTGAAGAACTTAAAATACATTCTTCAACTGTTTCAGATGTGAATGTTTCCCACGTTAATCTTTCTCAGATTTGTATATTTTGTTAAACTTTTTAGATAACATGTATCATTATGTTGCCTGTTCTATTTGCTTGTGAATGATATTAACTTGCCTTCTTTACAGTGATGCTTATTAATATATTAGGAACAATTCTTTTTTAGAAAACTTGGAAATCAGATATAAAATTACAACACAAGTAACATTTTCTGTATTCAAATGCACTTTCATAAGACATAAAAAATCTTCAAATTATCTGTAATTTTTGTTCATTGTTTATATAACAATAAGGTACTGTACATCATGAAAGTGATATTATGAACTCTCCTAGATGCCAAGGACTGTTTTTAACCTACAGTTTGAATACTTTTATTTCATAGCCAAATGCACATAATAGTATAATACAGCCTGGGGAATTCATTACCATGGATGTTCGGAATTACATGTTGAGTAGCTTGGTTTATTTATTGTTTTTCAAGATGTTTACAGCTCATGTCAATGAGAAATTTGGAAGATGTAGGTATATATTTTATTTGCAATAGTGGCGAATATCTGTAGCTCAGGTGTTATTGAGTAGGTGGTGTGTTTCTTCAATTTGGGAGTGTTTGATGATGACAAAGGTGTCATTGACGTAGTGTGTTCAGAAAATTTGGTTGGATGGTGGGTAGCGCTATGTTGCATGACTACTTCTGCTGCTAGACCTGATATAGGTGATCCCATCGGGGTACCTTGCACTTGCTTGTAGATTTTCCCATTGAACTTGAAGTATGTGTTGAGGCATAGATCCAGGAGTTTTATGATAGTTTCTGTGGACATGGAGTGTTCTGTAGTGGCATCATTTTTGTGGGTATGGTGTTTAGTGTGTAGGTGTTTAGCCAGGTCGATATCAATCGAGGTGAAGAGAATGTGACATCGAAGGAGACCATAATTTCTTCCTTGTTGATCCTGGTGTGTTTGATGAATTGGAGAAATTGTTCTGGGTGGTATATTGAGTGGGTCAAGTCTACAGTTTCCTCTACAGGGTTTTTGCTACTTTGTACATTGGTGTTCCAGGTAGAGACACAATTGGGCATAAGGGGATCCTGTTCTTGTATATTTTGAGGAGTCCGTAGAACCTGGGTGTGGAGGGGTCTTCTGGTTGCATGTGCTTTCTCTCTAGTGGTGTTAGCCGTTTTACTATTTTTCTTAGGGTGTCTTTTATTTAGTTCTCTAGCTGTTTCGTTAGATCATTGTGGATTATATGATAGGTATTGATGTCATTGAGGTGGTTTTCGGCTTTGCTGATGTAGTAAGTTTTGTCCATTATTACTGTCAGTCTGCCTTTGTCTGCCGGTAGAATGACAATGCCTTTGTCTTGTTTCAATGTCTTTAATGTTCTCTTCTCCTTTCACTGAGTGTTTCATTTTGTCTGTTACGTTACACATTGGGGATGATTCTTTGTCTGATGTCTTCTTATGTTTCTTGGTCCAGTTGGTACATTTTTAGAATGAATTCGAGATTGGCAAGGAATTCAATGGGCTCAGTGTCTTTGTGGTTGAAATTGAGGCCGTGTGTTGTCAGAGAGAGGTCTACTGTTTAGATTTCTGATCCATAGTTATGAGTTGTCATCTTGTAATTTTGGGGTGATGGTATTGAGTTTCTCTTGTAGTGACTTGCATTTTTGGGTTAGTATTTTGTGCGTTCTAAAGTGTCTGTCAAGTCTTGTCTGATGGAGTTGAGGCATTTGGTTTTTTGTTCGTTAATGATGCGTTGGTATTTTTCCAGGTGGTTGTGGGCATCAGTGATCATGAATCGAAGCATTTTGTGCCCATTTTGGAAGGCCAGTTTCCATGCTTGCAGGGGTTGATCAGTGGTTGGCAGAGTATGCTACCCCAACCTTTTGGGGGTTGTTTGTTTATGGAGGCATTCATGGAGGAAATGTAGCTGTTTGCAGGTTGATGATTGTCTTGCAGCAAAAGTCTCCCAGTGGCGGGCAAGTTTAAGCATTGCATGCCCATGTAAGTTTGCAATATTGGCAAATATCTGTAGCTCATGTGTAGGATGAGGGTGTAGGATGCCACTACAGAACACTCCATGTCGACAGAAACCATCATGAAACCTCTGGATCTATGCCTCAACACATACCTAATAACATATTACCAGAGGTCAAATTCACATGCGAAGAGGAAACAGACAACAGATTCCAATTCCTTGACATCGACATAAGGAGACTAGGCAATGGAGAATTGGAAACCCGCGTCTACCACAAACCCACACACACAGAACAGATCTTCAGTTTGTCAAGAAACTACTCCACCACACACAAAAGAAGTTGTGTCTAGACCCTCTTCAGAAAGGGCAGGACACGCTGCAGCACCACAACCATAAGAAAAGCAGAAGAGAAACAGCTGCTTGATGTCTTTCTCTGAAATGGCTATCCAAAATGTTTTGTATTCCAACACACAACACCCAGACCATAACACACCACACAGCCAACCACCATGCAAAAACTAATCCTCAGAAAAGGGGTGTTGGAAATGACAACCAGAATTCTCCAACCCTTAGAAATAGTAATAGCCCACAAACCCACAGCCACACTCCACCAGGAATTATCCAGAACCAAAGATAAGATATAAAAGGATGAAAGAAACAATGTATTCTACAAAATCAACTAACTATTGCAACAATAGTGCCGTCGGCCAAGCAGTGTAGGCTNTAGGTAGGGATGATTTTAAGAAAATTTTAATTGACACACAGCTTCGAATATTTGGCTTTTAATTTGGTTTTATGGGGGTTTTTTGTTCTTTGATGTATTTTGTTTGTCTGTTTTAATATGCTGTGCACCGCCCTGAGTCCTACGGGAGAAGGGCGGTATATAAATTAAATTATTAAATTAAATTAAATTAAATTAAAAACCAGGATCCATGAACGCCGGCTTGTAGTCAAGTGCCATGATCCCAAATCTTTAATCTCTACACACACCGACACGAAACAGTACCAGTTCAACACAAAAATCATCCACACTACTTCCCGCCACACTTGTGAGTTCATCGATGCCCGGCATTCCATAATTCCATCAACACATATTGACCTACAACCAGCCTACGAACCCCTCAGAATCCAAATCAACCACACAGCCAACCAGAGGCATCACTGACCCTCAACCAACCCATGCAAGCCCCCTCACCAGAAGTTCACCTTCCAATGACCCTGATCTGATGTAACCTTCCCATCTCACTGATGACTCACACCTGACCCATCACAAGACCATCACCTGAAGCCTTTATAAACAGAAGAACACTGACCCTGACATCCCCTAAACTCTGCTGAAGATGTTACCTAGCCTGGTAACGAAATGTTCGGAAACCAACACACAAGCTCAGAGAATGAACCTTCACCCTCATATATTTGATTCTCCATTAAGCTATAGAACTCACTAAGCGATTGGGGGCCCCATACTTTCTCAAAGAATTGTGTGGAAATGAAATGAAAGGAATCCTGATGTATACTATCCAGAGTTCTTGGTGAAAAGATTGGATATGAATGCAGTAAATAAAAATGAAAATTAAGAGACAATTTAGCAAGAGTACCAAACTATATTTAGAACTTATGAAAACAAGAGTTTGCTTTAAATAAGAAATATTCTGGATTAAAACAAAACTACTTCAGCATTCTGTTTGCAAATTCCTCAACCATTTAAATTCACTATTGGGTCATGAGTGCAGTAGTACTCACCTATTTGTGTTTTTCATTAGTTAATATTTATGGAATCCTGATTAATACACTTACACTGTATGGAAATATAGAAAAGTCATTGCCTGATATGTCTGCAAGTGGGAGAAATATTATATTTTCTTGAAGTTGAGCTTTTATCCTATACCTTACCAAATTAATCTTTCTGTGGAAATTTCACAACTTGAACTCATTTATATATATTTTCTGTATTCTAGGAGATGTACAGTAAATTACTACATATTCAAAATTACCAAGATCAACTGTATGCTCAAGGATTGCTTTCTGAGGATAAAGCATCTATGTAAGTTGTCTCTGAGATTATAATGAACATGGAAGATAGGTCTAGATGCATTTCTATATATTAATTTCAATGTAAAATTTAGATCATTCTGTAATGATAATATTTGATTATCCCTCTGATGGATCCAAAAGGTGATTGATATGTGGTTTGGCTGAGGTCTTGGATCATATCATCCTTGTGTGGTGTGTCCCTTTTCACATATTCGATCTTTGGGAGATGAAATTAAGAAAAGAGACCTAGAACAACATTGGAGAAAGTGTTGGAGAGAGCCTGATTAACTATGGGTAGGAACCCATATTTGAGGTTACCTTCTAGTGATAAGGGTGACAAAATGAAAATATTTATTCATCCTTACTGCATCTACTGATGATTATCAGTTGGCCTTGTTTAGGGTGACTGGTTTCTGCTTCAGAAGGATGGATCCCAGGACCATCTGTGGAGCTGCTGTGAAAAACATAGTGTCCTAATTATTTGGTAAGCAGTCCCTCAGATCAGCTTGGAGCTCAATTCTGACTAGGCAGATTATGTTGAAATGCCTGAGGCTTCATCTTGTAGTATGATCTGGGTTGAATGTGAATTGGGGTTCTTGAAGGAAGTGAAAAAGATTCTCCGAGCAGTCAGTCTGACTATCTGTTAGATTCAACAATTTAATTAGATTCAACAATTGAGTCTGTGTCGTGGTGTTGACTTCTTTTACAAAGGGGATGATGCTTTTGACCTTGGAGGAAGCAGTAGTGCATTTTCTCCTCAAGTGTCATTCTTATTCATTCTTATATCCTGGACAATTATTGCCTGTCTTCAACCTTCTCTTTTCAGAGAAGGTGGCTAGGTTGCATTAGCAGAGTTTTAAGGAAGTGGATTATCTGGATCTGTTTTAGTCAGGATTCAGGCAAGGATTTAGTATAAAGATAGGATTGTTGTGTTTGTTGATGATTTTTGGGTGGTGAATGGAAGTGATGCATCTGTCCTTGTGCTCCTTGATCTGACAGCAGCTTTTTATACCATCAGTCATGGTATGCTTGGGGGTGTATGAGCTCTAGGTGTTGGGTATTGGGAGTATAATTTTAAGGTGATCTTCCTTCCTTCCTTCCTTCCTTCCTTCCTTCCTTCCTTCCTTCCTTCCTTCCTTCCTTCCTTCCTTCCTTCCTTCCTTCCTTCCTTCCTTCTTCCAGTCAATGTTGACAGGGGAAAGAATGTCTCTTCAGTCCTTCCTTTCATGGAATATCTATATGAAACTGATGGATGAGGCCCTCTGAAAGTTCAGGTTTAATATTACCAGTATGCTGATGATATCCAATTATATCTTTCAACAAGTGATGATGTTGGGATTCAGTCCCAATATCTCAAGACTAGGCAAATCTGGATGTGGAGAAACCAATTTTGACTTATCCTAGCAAGACTGAGTGGTTGTGGATATTAGGGGCCCATATCTGAAGATGCTCTACTTTTTCTTTTAAGCCGGGCTGCACTTCCCTATTCAAGAGTGGTACACATTTTCTTGGGCTCCCAGATCCTGATAAAAAAGCAAAACAAAACATGGTAGCTGCAGCCAAGAAGACATTTGTACAGCTTCAGCTTTTGCACAAATTTTGCTCCTTCCTGGGTTGAAAGGCCTTTCAGGCAGTCACTCATTCCTTAGTCACCTTGTGGCTTGACTATTGCAATATGGTCTAAATGGCCAATACGCTCTTTAAGAGCCCTTGAAGATCACTCAGAGGCTTTAGTTTGTACAGAATGCAGGGTACAGGCAGCGATGGGCATGCCTTGGTATGCCCACGTGTTGCTGCTTTGCAAGCTGCACTGGTTGCCACAATATGACTGGATACAGTTCAAGGTACTGGTATCACCTATAAACTCTATATGCCATAGAACAGTGGTGGCGAACCTATGGCACGCGTGCCAGAGGCGGCACTCAGAGCCCTCTCTGTTGGCACACGTGTCACCACCGCCAGCAGCAGGTGCATCAGGCCACCACTGCCGCCCGGAGCAGGAGCCCCGCCCAACACAAAGGAGGCAAATTGGCCGACTAGCAAGCTCGAGTAGAGGTGGTAGAGCAGAGGTCACCAACCATTGTTGATTGGTGGACTGGAAGAAAAGGGAGGGGGAAGCATTTTACATGCATGCATGCGTGCACAGGGCCTCGAGCACGCACGTGCTGCAAATGTGGCGGGGCTAGTGCCTGCGTGATACTCACTAGCCCTGCCCTGTTCTTGCATGGTGCAGCACCTTGTATCTGCACCCCACGGCATGGTCGTTTTTGTGCCTTGCAGCACGGTGGCCCATTTTTGTGCCCCCGGGTTTTGCGTGCCAGAGGCGGCACTCAGAGGTGCCTCCCTACCCCCCCCCCCCATGAAGGCACCACAATGCTGATGCGGCCCTGGCACTTTGCGATAAATAAGTGGGTTTTGGGTTGCGGTTTGGGCACTCGGTCTCTAAAAGGTTCGCCATCACTGCCATAGAACCAAGTTATTTGAGAGATTATCTGTCTCCCATAGCTTCTGCCTAGGTTGATTGTTGCACCCCTTTGTTGGATGAATCTTTGTACATATTATATATTGAATGGTCAGATGCTATTTCTGTTTCGTTATTTGTTTGATGTTATGAGCCACTCAGACACATTTTAGAGCTGAGTGGTGCCTAAATTTAATTAATTAAGTAAATTACATAAATACTTTAGTTATGTCTTTTAACAGCTTTAATTGAGGAAGATCAGATTAGTTTTGATACACCTGCATTTCTATGATGCTTTACCATATCTTTACAAATTTACTGATTTATTAACATTTATACCTTACCCTATTTGTAAGACTTTGAACAGCTTACATAAAGTTATAGAAGTAATGTAAGAAAGAAGAAACAATTTTAGGAGAGATTCAAATGTAAAAGCAAAGATAGTAATAGATTCAGTGGTAAAGAGTATACTTGCTTGGATAGGAGATCATCTAATGCAGGGGTGTCAAACTGCTGGCCCATGGGCCGGACACATCATCCAGAAGCTGCGCCCATCCCATTGCCGGGGATGGCAAAACCATCCCAATATGTTGCACGATGTCACGTGACGTCGCGAGTTTGACATGTCTGATCTAATGGATCAAACACTGAGTTGGCTTTACCTCTTTTCAAGTTTTAAATATACTAAGAGCCACAGTATATACTGTATTCATAACAGAAATAACTTATGAAAGTTATGTCTTCATGGGCTACCCACACATGCGCCTTAATTTAAACAAAAGTGTTTATCTCAAAGGATAGCTGTGATACCATCTTTGTTTGCAGCATTTGCGAAGATATAAGGGTTTTAGGGCAAATACATTCCTGACACATGGAATTAGAATTGGGCATTTTCAGAAGGATTAATAGTCTCTGGATTCAGTATTGGGCCTGTTGTTGAAAAAGAAATGTAAGTAGTATTGGTTGAGGAGGGAAGTTACTATTAAGTGATAAGCCAGATGAACAATTGACAATGGATTACAAATGAAGAAAGAAATTGAAATCGAATGAGCCCAAATACAATCATGAGCAAAGTGACTCAAGTTAAAAATTCTATAACAATAGTTAGGCCCAGATTATAATATGAATAATTAATTCAAAAAGATCCGTTATAATATATGTGATTCCAGGGGAAAGAAATTATTAACTCTGAAGATGGAAGAATCTTTAGGAACTTAGGAAAAACATTGAAGTAAGTTGGACAAAATAGAGATAAACCGAGTGAGGAAAAGAAAACACAAAAAGGAATAATAGTAAAATAAGTAGCTCAACATTCATTCCAGTATTTTGGGAATGAAGGATATAGTTGTATTTTTGGAAGTATATAATTGGTGCTAACAAAAAGTAACAATGAGCATACTTTCTGCTACAAAATGTCATTTACTGACAAACTGATATAGTCCATCCTACCTGTTCTTTCCTCTTCTCTTTCCCTGGCTTCTAATTATAATTTGTTCAGTTTCTGTATTTGTGTTTATAAGTAAATTGATATATTTCCAAGAAACTAAAAACACTTATATACTGATTTGCACTGCCCTGTTTGTATTTTCTAAAAATGCCTGTGGGATCTATAGGTTGGTTGTTATAACTTTGTACTATTGCAACTTCATATTTATTCTTTTTTAAAAAATTAAAAGAAATGTGTCAAGGCTCATCTTACACTGTACTCGATATATATTATTTTCTATATTTGGAGAACTAAGAGGCTGGTCTGCCTCAGACTAGATTGGATTTGGAAATGGTATTGAAACCTCTGAAAAATGTTCACATCCTTCTTTTGGGAGTGGGAATCGTAATACAGTATGTATGTATGTATTAAAATCCTGCTGAAAATGATGTCTAGATTTTTAATTATTAACTTTTTAACAAATTAATATGCTTGCTTAGTTTGCAACTCTAGCTTGCATTTCCTCAAGCATAAGGAAAGTATATTTCCAAATTAAGTGTATAGTCTAGGTGCAATCTTATCTTTAATTGCATGATTAGTTAAAAGAGAATATATGTGATATTTTAAACAGGAACCTGATTGGCAGCAGATGGCTGATTAAAGAGGAATTGGAAGAAATGTTAGTGGAAAAACTGTCAGATCAAGATGTGAGTAATTAATCTCTTTTATTTAATGAACCCTGTATCCTAATGGAACAGTTAGTGGTTGTAAGGATTCTGGGGGGAAATTGCCTGGGACATGGGAATTATTCCTGTTTTTAGTTTGAATCACATAAGTACACCAATCACATCCCTAAATAGTTATGAGATAAAGTAGTTTTATGCATGTTATTTTAGGAATGTTTCCCCAAATAATGAGGTAACTTATATATTCAGCAGAATTGTTCCACTTCATATTGTTCAGGATGGTAGTTCTACTTGGATGGATATTAACATGCCTATGTAAACAGACCAGAAAAACAACAACAGCAACCCACATCCCACTCTCAAATGCTCACAGTATCTTAGCAGCCAAGATAACTAAAGCCTTGTCTCTGACCTTTCTCTTTGCAGTGTCCAGTGAGGGATTTATCTCAAGGGAGAACATTCAAACATGTAATTTGCCACTCCATTTTAACATGTAATTATTATTACATAATTTGTCACTCCCATGTACAATTCAGTTAAATAACTAGTTACATCAGCAAGAGGACTGTGTCCTCTTCTGTTCAACCTTCCTTTCAGCAGCGTCTGATGGGGGCTTAGAAAGTCAAAGTGGTGACCAGTGTAGCATGATCAAAGCCCTGCCCTCTTTTCACATGTGATGCAATGCACATAAAAGGGGGAGGCCTTTTGATTCTAACTTTGTGGCCATCACCTTAACGTCCCTCTGGATACTTCTGATTCCTTTATTGTGACCAGGGACAACCATGTTTGGAAGCTACAATTTTAGTCAAATTGTAAAGAAGGTCCGCATGTGTTCAGCAGACTTCTGTTGTTGGATGTTACCCCATATAAAGTAGCTGGTGGGAAAGGAGATATCAGAACTAGCAGGTTTAGTTAGTCACATGATCAGTTCACTCAAGGGAAGTGATCATATTGAACACATCTTGATTCTGCCACTGGGTTACTTGTACTGAAAAGGTAATTTCATTATTTTATCTCTATTGTATCCATTTAGGATTTCTTTCTTTTCTTTTTTAACTTCTATCTTAGCTTCTCTGCAAGCAAAAAATAAGCATACAGAAAGTTATCTTTTTTGAGCCATTCAGGAAATGTTCCTTTATTTCCTTCCTTTTCGTAGCCTAAGCTGTATAAAATGGTGTTAAACCTGAATCTGCTTCTTAACTTCCTGTGGTCGGGAGGCGCTCTATTACTAGTGAGACACTTTAATCACATACTCAGATGAAAGCAGTGAAACTTACAGTAGCAAAGGATAATTATTTCAAGAGGTTGCCCTTTGAGTCAAGTATCTCTTGAATTTTTAAAAACCTTGATTGTTTGTTTTTAAAATCAAGACTAAGGTAAATCCTTTTTGAACGACCAATGGCAAAAATGCACATTTCCTGTACACATTAGGAAATAAAATAATCTCAAATCAAATCTTTATTACAGTCATAAGCTTGAATAAAATAATCCAAGAAGTAGAGTTTAAAAAACAAGTTTCCTTAAATGACTTGGGACTGTTGTCTGTTACCACTTTTCTATCAAAAAGTTCTCCTTTGAGGCCCACTAAATCTCTTTTTGAAAATCATGATTGATGATGAAGTTAGTTTGACAAAGAGTTTGCTTAAAGTTTGGAGCAGTGGATTCATTTGTTGGGGGCAGGGAAAAAGTTAGGTATCTTTATTCACATAGGAAATGATACATCTGCATGTTGTTTTGAAAGCAGCATGCAAATGCAGAAGTGTCATCCTGTCAAAAGTTATCAGTAAGAACAGAACTAAATTGATCAAGCAGGTAAAAATAGAAGTTGTTGACAAATGCAATTACACTTGCACCATCATCCCTTAATGAATTTTTATTGTCTACAGTATTTAAGGTGTATTCAGCTGCTGGAAAGATCAGTAGCACTATCATACTGTGATATAGAAGAAGATTATCTACTTAAATTTCGCAAGCAATTACCTATACAATCCAAAAAACAATCATTTGAACCCCTGAAATACGATGAGCAAGGAGTGGCCTTTAGCACTGCAGAAGGTATGCTTTTTCCTAAATATCAAAATTTAGTCCTTGGCAACTTGAAAATCTAAACATTTCTCAACATTAGCTACATGTCTATTGTATAAAGAAAACAAAATGATGCTGCCCAAGATGTCCAGTGATATTGCACTGTGTTCTATGTGGTCATACTTGTTTCATTAAATTAAAAACAGTTAGTTAAAAATATATCCTCTGTTTCCAACTTATTTGACACATGTATTTAAGATGGTATATAATATTGCATCTACCATACACTGTGAGGTTGTCTATTATAAATTGCTTTTCATACAGATTTTCCAGTCTGGCAACAGGCAACTTAAATTACTTCACTTGCTTACTTTATTCAGACTTCTTTGACAAACAGTATGGTTTTACAATCTCAGCCCTAGGAGGAAACAGGCAGTGGCAAACCATTTCTGAAAAAAATCCTTCAGGGACTAGTTCAAGGAGTACCGAAGAGTCAAAAATTGACTCGAAAGTATTTTTTGTTATGTGTGTGTTGACTCACACACCCAATTTGTAGCATAGATCAAAAATAATTTACTTTGCATTTCTGTTCAAATACTGTATACTCTAAATCAAACAGAAACTATATATTAAAATAATTATATCTTTTAGATATTGATTGCCATTTTGAATTATCAGGGTATGCCTCCCTCTGCTGGGAGAAGAAAGGAAATCTAACAGTGGCAGTTTTGTGAAACTGTGTCCATTATATTCATGATATATACAATGTGACATAAGTCTCTTTTCTTTTTACAGAGGCCTTTTTGATAATGAATATTGCCAATTACTGCTTTCAGAGATATGCATAAACCTTTAATTGTGGAAATATGTTAATATTTCTGTATGCTATCAGGTAGTACCCCTGGAGTGTTCTCCAGCCCTTCATAAGTTTAGAATCTAGATTAATTTTGGATATATTAGACCACTGTTCCATCCCAAAACAGACATTTAGGTTTAGTTCTCCTTGTGTTGCATCTGGTTAGGAAAGATGCTGCACAACTTCTTTGTAATTAATCTTTTGAAAGAATGCTTATTTTTCTCACTTTTGCTAACCGTTCCCTTTCAAAAGATAGTTTCTGTTTTGTTTAGCATTTTAAAATGCTATATGTGTTGATGCTAAAAATGCTAAACATTTTGAAATGCTAAACATGAAATAAATGTACAGAGGTGTTTTTTTTTCTTTTTAAGGTAGGAGAAAGTCAGCAATAGCAACTGCTACACTTCATGCAAATGGAAGTGGAAAATTCACTATAAATGGAGATAATTATTTACTTTACTTCCCAGTGTTGCAGGACAGGTGAGTGTTAAAAAAAGAGAACCTTTTTTGCTAAAACAATTTTTAATGGTGTTTTTCTAAAAAAAATGTTTTCATGTATTTTTAACTTTTAAAAAAATCTTCAAGGTATCATATTTTCCTGCTGTACATTCATATTTGAAAATTTATATACAGGTGAAAATGTTAGTAAAACAACAATTTCAAATGCTTCTGAATGTTGGTATCTCAATATATCTTGGACTGAAATTCCCATTGTCTTCAGTCAATATATTAGTACAATCTGAAGATCACAAGGGTTGTAATCTGCAGATCTGGAAAATTCCTACTTAAAAATATTAAATTCTTAGAAATGTGAACTTTATTGGGGGCAGTGGGAGAAGAATGAACTTGGAAATTTGCATAAAGCATCTGGCCACAAAATTTTGCCACCCTTGACTATCTTGAAACTTCTGTGAATATGAATTACTCCATGAACTATTAGATCCTAATTTAATTAAACTTGAGTACAGATTTATAGTGAGAATAGATTTCTTGAAGGTGCTGTTCACATAAAAAAATGTACCAAATTGAGCCAACAATATCCATTTGCGTATTACTCTGAAAAGGTGACAGTTTTACTATATGCTTTAGTTGAGGCATCTTCTGTGCACAAGTGCATTTTCCTTTGCAGGTGTAGATACCTTGTATCGTTCTAAGCCACGTCAGCCATCAGAAGCTTATTAAATGCCCATAATTGTAGCCTGTGAAATTGTAAACAAAGAGAAAAAGGATATTTGTAAACCATTATTTGAGGCTAGTAAAGTCTGTTTGGCTTGGGAAAAGTGTAATGAATACCCATCTGGCCTAGGGAGTCTGTCTATTTTTTAGTCATGTTTTTCTTTATTTTTCATTGCTTCTCTTGCAAATGAGTTTGCTTAAGTATTATTTTATAAGCTTTATTTGACCTTAAACATTAACAATATAATCTCCCTTGCTAGTGCACTGCTCTGACTATCACTGTTGTGGGCATTTTTGATGTGGATATATTTAAATAAAGAAAATATGTTGTGTAGTAAATAAGAAGTAGGACTGTGGGAGACATTTTGAATTCAGATCCTTGTAATTGAAACAGTTGATTTCTGTTCAGAGTGGCTGCTTTGTTCATTCTAGAAATTTTGCAAGCTCAAATTCAGAGCATTTCTGAAACATGCACACCACCTCTTGAGCAGCACTTGAGTACAGGTAGTCCTCAACTTACAACAGTTCATTTAGTGACGGTTCAAAGTTACAATGGCACTAAAAAAACTGATTTATGACCATTTTTCATACTTACAACCTTTGTAACAATCCCATGAACATGTGATCAAAATTCAGATGCTTCGCAACTGGTTCATTCTTATGACCATTGCTGTTTCCCAAGGTCAACTTTTGCAACCTTCTGACAAGCAAAATCAATGGGGAAGCCAATTCACTTAACAGTCTTGTTACCAACTGCAGTGGTTCACTTAACAACTCGGGCAAGAAAAGTTGTAAAATGGGCCAAATTCACTTAACATATGAAATTTTGGACTCAACTGTGGTCGTAAATCGAGGACTACCTGCATGTGATTTAGCTTAATTAAGTATTTCCATGGAGAGGTCACTAAGAAAAAAATTCATGGTTTACTAGATTACTTTTAACTGATTTTAATTCTTTCACATTCTTATTCATATATAATACTTTTCAGAGAACAGCTGATGTTCCCGTTCCAATTTCTTGATCACTTAGAGAAGTATGACGTAGTCTGCTCTGTATCTGGAGGAGGAAGAAGCGGACAAGCAGGAGCAATTCGCTTAGCCATAGCAAGAGCTTTATGTAGTTTTATTACTGAAGATGAAGTAGAATTCATGAGGCAAGGTAATAAGAATTGCATAGAGAAAAATGTATCAAATTGTCCTAAATAATAAAATTCAATATCTTGTTCCCGATTATTTATTTCTAAAAACTGTAGTTTTTGCTATTTAGCATTCTAATGAACTGTTTAAAATGAGGCAAATGCCCAGGACTTTCTAATATTATAAACCTAGGTTTGAATGTTAGATAAATTCTCATCTCCCTTTGACTTCCCTCAGTTCTTATGACTAAGTCCCTCCACCCTTCTCTGTGCCAAATTGTATCAATTTCTTCCTGATCTTCCTGCAGCTGGTCTCCTCACGTCTGATCCCCGTGTGAGAGAACGGAAGAAGCCTGGCCAAGAGGGAGCCCGCAGAAAGTTCACATGGAAGAAGCGCTAAAACTGAAAATGTATTTTATAGGAATCAATCTTTGTAATTAAACTGTATTTTACCTTTCCTGCCATCCATGTCTTTTCTTATTTACTATATACAAAGCATTACATCCTGACATGTGCAACCAGTAGATATCAGAAATGTCTACTAATCAGTTGGAAATATTAGGCTATCTTAGTAGCAAGTTGCCATTTTAACAAATCACCCAATGAGAATTTACACCATAAATTTTGAAATCAAAGGATGAGGCTGTTTTTAGGTGGGCTTTACAAAAGTGCATATGAAAGGCGCTGTGTGTTGCTGTTCAAGAACTAGAAGAAGATGCTGCTGCTAAAGCTCTATGTGCCATCAGATCAGTATCAATTCTTAGCAACAAATAGTTGATTTTCTCCAGAATGATCTTATCCCACCCTGGCCCTTCAGGTCTTCCAGCTGTAATTCAGCCCTTCCACCTTGTTGATTGTCCTTCTTTTCACCTTTCCCAGCATTAATGATTTCTCCAGAGAGCTAGGCTTTTTTTTTTGTTTTTTTTTACAATGCGTCCAAAATAAGTTAATTTGAGCCTGGTCAGTTGTGTTTCATTTGAGAATTTTGGATTGATTTGTTCAATAATCCGTTTTCTTGTCTAGCCATGGCATCCCTAGGAATCTGCTCCAGCATGAAAGTTCAAAAGTATCAATATTTATTCTGACCTGTTTCATTTCTATAGAGCAGACATGTCAAATACAAGGCCCGAGGGCCGGATGCGGCCCACGAAGTGATTTCATGTGGCCCGCGAAGCCATCCTGGAAACAGTGAGGGTACAGCCCACGCTGCCTTGGCCCTGGCCCAGGCCGGCCGGGAGCCAATGTACAATTTTGTGGTGGCCATCTATGCTGAAACGCATTCAGTCTTAGCTCCACAAGGCCGTCTGGAAACAGCGAGGAACCAGCCCTGCCACGTCAGCGTCGGCCCCTGGGGAGGTGTCACCCTTTGTGAGGAATGAAGAAATGCACCATCGCCTGGAAGTGGGCAGCAAATGGCCCTCGCCTACTTCACATATCCAGCTTGATTGGCTCTGGGGGAGGAGTTTTGGCAGGCAGCGTGGCGCTCTCCTCACAGCGCTGAGAGGCTGAGCCAGGCGGTGCAAATCCCCCAAAAAACGGGAGGCCGCCCAGCTCCCAGTATCTGAATATTTTTTCCTACTCTACAAGTACTAGTCTGCAGTGTATTTCTTATCTTTCCTGTTGATAGTTGATCTTACAAGGCAGAAGCTATCTACCATTTCAGTATCTTCGTTGTCTTGGTGTACTGTTGTCATTAGTTTGCTTTTTATATTTGTATTTATCCAATTTATATGGCCAACCATCTAAGAAAATAGACAGTGAAAAAAATGAAAATACAGAAGTTCATTAAAACAAAAATAACAAAAAACTTATTAAAACTTACACTGGGGCTTAATAAAAATGTGAAATTGATAGACATGCAGTATATCATAATTCTCAGGTTAACAAAAGTTGGATGGCATAAAATTAATTATTTTCAGCATCAGCGTCCTGACTTCAATTCTTGAATAAAAGCCAGCTCTTGTAAAAAAATAAAATAAAGGCTGTCCGTATTTTGGGGGAGAGCTATTTTTTTTTTAATTCCATTTTTTCAACATGCTTAACTTTCAATGACTGTTGCATTTTCGGTTAAGAGTTGTATCATCAAACAAGTTATTTAAAGCAACTCATCTCCAAAAAACCTAACCGCAATATATTTTCAGTTTATGAAAGGTCTATATTGTTAACATTTAATGTGGAAGAGGACAAACATTCCTTGAAATATAATCCATTGTTAGATTAAAAACTGTACAAAATATTTCTCAACAACAAAATTAATATATTACATGAAAGGTCTAGACATCTATAAAATGTTTTTTCTAAGAGAATGATAAATCATCATTATTATATAGAGTTAAGTATACATGAGCATAGCAATATTGTCATGTGTGAAATATAATGGTATATTTTTCTGACCTATAAAAACTATTTTAAAAGTCATATTTATGAAGTATTATCTGATTACTAGTATATATTTTGCCACAAGATGGGGCTGTTTACAACAACCAGTATTAGTTTTCTGAAATGTAAAAGTAGGGAAAACTTGTAAAATTGCAATAAATCAGATTTATGTCTTTAATAAAGCATGTTTAAATGGTAAGCTTAGTTGTTATTAAAACCCAATCAGTTATCCAGATTTATTTACTGGCATTGAATCCCATAGATTTTTAAAGTTTTTTTGAGTTATGGATATAGATAATTCATTAGAAATATCCCTTTATACCATTTTGATAACTACAAAGGTGCCCCTATTTATTGGGCAGTAGATTTATTACAACTAGTTACAAAAGCAACAGGCACTATATAAGATAATGCATAGTTGAGGGAAGAATTGTCAAACCAAAGAGTGATTTTTATTTTTTCCAATCCTATAAATATTGTAAGGCCTTGGAACTTCTGCTTGCAGAATAAATGTCTAGGACAGTGTGATAGCAGATACATGCAAACAAAAGCTTGACTTTAGAAATGGGCTAGGCTTGGGGGAAAAAACATTCCAGGAAAAAAAATGCTCCAACCTTTACTATGAGGGACACAGAATTTTCTTTTCTTTTTTTTTGTAATATATTTTATTGATTTTTTTAAAAAAAAACATAAATCACTTAATAATTGGTGAACAGGGTGTTGTCTGGGTTACATTTGTAAAACAATCATTAACAATTAATTTCTATAATCCATATTCCACATAATAATTTTAGTTGATTTCCTCTTTCTCCAAAATATCCTCTTCTGCAAACATTGAATTAATACCATTCTTATTATTTTGATAAATAACAATTGAACATATAATTTTTCCAATATTCCTAAAAATAATAATAATATGAGTATAATATTTCTTTTCTATTCAGTCATTCTGGTTGCCTTATCCTAGATCCTGTTACAGTCCTTAGTTTATTTCTCCCATCAAATTCTAAATATTCTTACTGGTGAAGATTTTCTCAAAAATTAATTACATTTACATTTACAAATTTAACTCTATTTTTTCCGTATAAGCCATCTCACACTTTTACATTTCTTAAGAAATAGCTAAAATGATGAAAAGAAAAAGAAAGGAGAGCAAGAGTAAAGAAACATAAGAAATAACATACTACTTAAAATATATATCCCTCCTAGGCTAATATACGGTATATTTATTTCCTCAATTTCTTATTCTTTTTATCCATAATTAAGAATATATTTAATCTTTAATCTTTAAACATTCCATTCAATACCTCCAGTCATCTAGTCCTTTAACTCTTATTCAAAACAATTTTTTTTCATAATTTTCTTAAATTCAGTCACATTTAAATATCTAAAACATTTCCTTTATTTAAATCATTTCAACTTTTTTTATTACTCATATCAAGAAAAAGAACACAAAAGAGAAAAAAGCATACTATATTATTTAGAGAACTCATCCCTCTTAGAATAGCATATATGTTCCAAAGTTTTTCTATTTCTTTAACCATATTCAAACAAATGTTTCTTTTTTAAGTATTCTCTCTGATAAGTCCCATCGTCTATTTTCTTGATTTCCACCTTAGTCTTTTTCCTTTGCCCAGTATCTTTCTTGATTGATGTATTTTGCTGAATCAAAAGGTTTTTCCGTATGTTGTTGTAGATATAAAAAGTAAATCAGTATCTTTATTAAGGGCATTTGCCCACTCATTTTTATTGGGAATCTTTTTCCTTCTTTTTCTCTCTGCTTGTCACTTTTTGTCTCTCCAGTTCTAGTGTTTTCCCTGGTATCTCTGTAATACGTTTTATCCAGTCTTTTTTCTGGGACACAGAATTTTCCATTGATCCATTTTAAATCCCTCACCACTTTTGCCTCCTAGTCATGTGGCATAGAGTTCATATGTGGCCCAACCAATGCACACATAGCATGATAGCAGAGCAGAAAGATAAGCACAACATATGTGCCTGCCCCAATTAGTCTCAAGGAAAGAGGATGAACATACTTCATTATACAGAATAAAATAGAAATGTATCCAGTGGTCATTCTGGTGAAGATCAAAATTAATTTTCAGCAGCCATGTTTTGCATGCTGTCTCTGCCTTAATGTTCTGAATAATTTACTAATATATTATTAAATAAGTACATATATATTATGATTAATTACTAAGAATCATGCTATCTATTTTAGATCTTGGCAGAGTCTGGAAAGTCAAAACTAACTGGGAAGTCAAAACCATCTGGGAAGGTAGTAATAGCAAATCATTTCCATGTTGTTGTCAAAAATAAATAAATAAATAACATAGATACATTCATGAAGTCACTTAGGATCAAACTCAAGCAGAATGAAGACTTACAATTTTTACAAACAATTACTGCAAGAATCCAAAAGATGTATGTATGTTAATGCGAAACACTTGCCAGGTTTGAAGCAATCATTGATTATTAAAAGGAAAGCACAGCCAATCCAGACTTCATTTATTTATTTAATTTGTATGCTGCCAAGTCATTACAGATTCACAGAAGTTTATAATGGATTAAAAACATTAAAGTGTCTGTGGTAAATATAAGCAAGTAATTAATTATTTGTTGTTGCGAAGTCGTGTCCGACCCATCGCGACCCCATGGACAATGTTCCTCCAGGCCTTCCTGTCCTCTACCATCTTCTGGAGTCCATTTAAGCTCACGCCTACTGCTTCAGTGACTCCATCCAGCCACCTCATTCTCTGTCGTCCCCTTCTTCTATTGCCATCAATCTTTCCCAGCATTAGGCTCTTCTCCAGTGAGTCCTTCCTTCTCATTAGGTTTCAACTTAATCAAAATTGTAACCATTTTGCTAGGTTAAATTATGATAGCAATGTAAACCAAAATAGAGTACCAAGAAATATATCACTAGATATAGCTTTAAGAAAAACAAATCAGTGACGATGATGAAGTCTCTCAATGTGCTAAACAACTCCTTGGAATGCTCTAAACATGTTCCATCTTCAGTAGCTTCAGGAAGCTGAGATAGAGCAAGCCTTAATTTTAAGGGTACCCCACAAACCCAAAGCAG